CAGAAATATCAATATACGTCACACACATCAATCTGTTATATGTATATATGAATTTAATTATTTCAAATAATCTCTTAATTTTTTATCAATTTATATTTTAACGTATAATAATAATTTGAAATTAGAGTCGCTTACAATGTTCATGGTGCAGTACCTTTACTTTGTAATAAACTTTTTAATGAAAATCACGAATTAAACAACAATTTAATTACGTTAAATCGCTACCCTTTGAGATGAACTGTACACCAGAAATTAATATTTTATACACGATTTAAATTGTAAATTTCCATCGAGATGAATGTTGCTTGTCCCACATATCGTTACGTATAACACAAATCAATACTGTTATACATGTAACAAATTGTGTGAATTTAACAAATATATAAGTAAATTTAACAAATTTAACTTTGATTGTACACACTATCAATTTATAACAATAATAACATAAATGAAATAACATAACATTCACTTGTCACAGTAATAAAATTTCCAATTAAATTTTTGCGAATTAGACAATAATATAATGTTATTTTATTATCATTCTAATTCTGCAAGTTTTACAATACAAAAGTCGATTATTTTTTTCAGAACTTGTCATTTAATCTCATTTTGTACGACACGATAATTCTATTGCGAATTATGATGGATTGTTTGTGTGCTTAAAAAGAAGAAGCTTCCATCAAAATTATTATCCATTCTTAAGGCAAAGGTGAATGCAAGTTTTTTCACCGTGAATTGTTTTGCTCTCGATTGGTCTGAACGTTTATGAAACATCGGCCGATAAACGAGCGATAAATTGAAGCCCGCCTGGACGATCATCTTTCATCATTAAACACGTAGAACGCGCCAACGCGGCAAATTCCGTGGGGAATGTAAGACGATTCTCTCGCGGAAGCTTATTTCGGAGTGTCACGGACGAGAAGGTGCAAACGAATCGACTGCAATTATACGTTTACGTGACTCCCGTTTCTCCTGATTACTTCGCGAAAATTCAGCGACCCTCAAAAAAGAAGCCAACTATACTTTTGGAGCTCATAATCGCCTACCAGGAAATTAATTCCACGATCGTTAGGCGAAGCAATCAATGAAGCAGATCACGTTTCGTCATTAAGTCTCTCTGATAGGCACTTCGCAGAAAACGTTTATATAATGTTCTCGAAGGCATAACTTAAAAATAGAAAGTATCGTTACTTGCAAATTTGATCAAAAAACATGTAGTGAATAATTTAATTCAAACGATTATATCATGTTAAATTAGATAGTAAAAGTTTATAACAAAGATTATTTTGGTGAAAAAGAAAAGAAAAGAAAGAAACAGAAAATTAATCATTAAAATAGTAAAATTAATAATTAGTTGATCATAGATTTTTTGATTGAAGGAAATATTTATTTTGAACGTGACACAAATTTAATAAAATAGTTTTAATAAAATAATTTAATTAAGTAAAATATCCTGTTTCTTTTCAAAGAAATTTCGTCACTTATTTGTAAGTAATTTGTAATTTTATTTCCTTGATTAAGAATAATCTTACTAAATAGTTAAGATATTAAATTAATAAACGTGTTATATATGATTATTTATAAAATAATAAAACATAGAAGTAGTACATTAAATTGAGTTCAATGTGTTGAAATCAGCTTGGTATTCAAAGTAATACATGCATTATCGTATAATACAAAGATAAATACAAAGTATGCACATAAAATGTGATAAAAATTATAAAAATAAAAGCTTAAGCATCATAAGAAATACCCAGCGTTGAGAATTCAAAAACTGTGATCGATATTGTCCTAAAAAAAGCTTTCGTTTTTTTAAAAAGCTATTTATCGAAGCTTATAACTAGCATAAATAAAGAATAACCAGTTCAGAGGCATCACGTATGAAACCGGCGAATAAACTGGACCAAGTTGAGCGTCTTTCATCATTAACGCTCTCAATAGCCACTAGATGATGCCTTGCGGCCGCGCACGAGAAATTCCACAAGGGATATGAACGACTTCCATCCTGGTCTGAACTTACGCTACCGTTTTAGCAGCGAGAACGTAGATAACCTTCGATCGAACGTGCGACCTCAATCGAAGTTCATCCCAGTACGAGGCCGAAGTACTCGTACGGACACAAATAATGCGATCAATTACGCGGTAACTTCTCTCGTTACTTTATATACAGGTGATGACGTAGTACAATCGCGAGCTTCGAGTTAATACAAAGAAGTCATGAGCCGCACTTAATCCTGAAGAATTTAGATAAATTATTAAACTATTTTTGAATATTACATTTGCACACACACAAAGTACCTACTGCGCTGACTTCTATTTTCTTTTATATTCTTTTCTTAAATTTATTTTATTCAATTTGTATTATTCACTATTTTAATCACGTAGATAATCAGCATCTTTGATAAGGTCAAAATTTTTGAAATGTGATTCATAATAATTATTTAAAGAAAATTATATCAAATAAAATAAATTCCATTGTATTAATATTTCTTCTTATTACGTTCCGACATGAATTAAAGATATGCAACTTATAACTCGTCAGATTGATGATTAAATTCATAATACGGAGAATGTAAGTTAGTTACGCATTGTTAAATTAATAACCCGTTGTAACCAAATTAATGATCCATTCATCCGCGAATGAGAATCATATTATCCAGTAGCTGCGGTTAGTGGAACGTGGCTAGAGCATACCTACAGTTATTGGTTCCCGTTCAATTATTGGAGCCTGTTTCCTCCCTCTGTTAGTATTGCACTCAAATAGAATATATTATATTATATGATAAACAGAATGGAAATGCTCTTAAAGGAAACTACGTATTGATGGTAAGTATAAAATAAATTTTAGACCTACTTAACCCACAAAGGATTAGCGTAACCCCTCCGATTTTCATAGTTTAGACGTTTGTTGTTCCCTTTTCACTTATTGCAAAATATCTTTTGTGCTACGACATTTTAGACTTTTTGACTAAAAAATTCTTTTTTTTCAATCTTCAAACGATAGATTAAAAAAAAATTAGTTAAAATCGATGCATTACAATTTGAGATACAAACAAAAGAAAACACTGGATTGACAAATACCCGGATGTGGGTAGATAGGGATTTTTTTCAGATGTGGGGGTACTGAGGATTAAGTTAATTATTTTCATTTTTATTCCAATTTGTATTGATTATGTTTACATAGAGACATATAGGTATAAAATATATAATTTAACAAGATATATATTTAAGAGATATATAATTATAAAAACATATATATTTTGAAATTTGAATATAAAAAAGTTAGTTCAGTTATACAGGGTATCTTATTTGAAGTTTTAGACGCAATTATCTTCCAAACTATTTGTTATTTCAAAAAATGTTTCAAGTGAAACTTACTTTGTTTCGAAGAGGACATCTTTTGATGATTACAGACCCTCTCTAAGATTTCAAAATGATCTTTTTTAAATGAAATTAGGTTTTTTTACATAATATAATTCTTTTAATTACTCTGCACATAAAAATATTAAGATAAAGATACCAAAAAATTAATAGTTTTACGAGACGTTTTATATTTTATTCTGACACATATTAACATGCACAAACAACATAACAACATAAGAAATACTAAACTTTCGTAAATTATATAATATTTGTAAATTATATATTTGTATAATCGTACCTTAATACTTTTTTATATAAATAGAGAATGAGATGAAACAATTAGTTTAAAGAAAAATAGTTGCTTTAAAAAAAAATATGTTAACAAAATGGGTAATTTTTTCTTACACCAATTGATTCATCTCATTATCCTTTGCATAAAAGTATCAAGGTTAACAAACAATTACCAAGAAATGAATTTAGAAAATATTTAATTGACATGAAAATATGTATCAAAATAAAGTATAAAATATTTCGTAAACTATTGGTTTCTTAATATCTCTATCTTATTACCTTTATATGCAAAATAAATAGAGAAATCATATTATGTAAAAAAAAACCTATACAATTTCATTTAAAAAAAATAAAGATCATCTTGAAGCATGTCCATCCAGAGAGAATCTGTGGATATCAAAAGATGTTTCCCTCTAAATAAATAAGTTCCACTTGAAATCATTTTTTAGAATAACGAATAATTTGAGAGATAATTGCGTCTGAAGCAATACGTGCGAGATTCAAATGGAACTTTGTATAACATACAGTTTGAAACATTAATTTATTATTTCTTATTTTGCTTTTTTGAATTTTTGAGTCTGATTGTATTCTAAATCATAAATATTCTTATAGGTCATATTGCTATTACGTCTAAAGTGCTTCACAGTCAGCTTTGTGAAAATATATTTCCTGCCAATATCGTGCAATATTTAATTTCGTAAAAGCACTAATGAAAACGCGTTTCTACGACGGTTAGTCAGAACGCCGTTGTAATTACATTGGAATTTATTTTCCAGTCCGTTGCCATTAGTACCGGAATATTATTTCATTGTTCCACTAATAACCAGCGTTGTATGCGAATTGTATAAAAGCAGATTTTCGCGCTCGCGACCCGGTTTATATTCCCCAATATCTCATTAAAAATCAAAATTCATCGTATTTCTCGTTGATTTATATCGATGAGTAACTAATGATACATATAATTGCCGCATGTAATTTTTATACATACAAACAAATCAATATTTAACTATAAACTTATTCTCTTTCTTAGAATTTCGGTTTTTAGAATCTTATACCTACTTATTAGTAACTTGATAATTATGTTGTATATTAAAGAATTATACAATTTTTGTATTATTTTGCAATTTAAAAATATTTAAAATACAAAAGATATCTTCTGAATATATTTTTAAGGGATTTGGAAAGAAATCAGTGCGGACAGATATCCATGTCATAAATAAATGTATATTTGTAGAAGTTTTCGGGGAGTGGGATTATACGTGTGTAGTAATCCTTCTATCATATATATCAAACAAGCTATTTTTTGTACCAACTCTACGATCAATTCTACCCTCGAGACAACTTACCGCTTCTTCCGGTTGGCGTCGGTGCGGACGTGGACCTGCCGGTGGGCTCCGGAATCGGGTAGGGTAGGTCGCAGCATTCCCGCTCGGGGAATTCACTGGCGCGAGCGCAGCAGCAGGACAGCGCGACGAGCAGCGTCGTCAGGGTCGTCAGTAGGGGCCGCGAGCGCGACGTGAGCGTCCTGGCGACGCGCGCCGTTAGATCGTCATGCCCCGTCATCGGTCCTACCAGTCGGTCGTGGCCGATTCGAGGACTGCGAGCGATTCTGCACTGCGAGATCTTCTTCCTCTCAACCTTCTCGTCCGCAGCATCCTGCGAACCTTGGTACCGCTCGGTCCCCCAAGAGTCGTCGCCACCGCGAGTCACCTCGATGGTCCCCGCGGCGCGATCCTCATCGTCATCACACATACACACACGAGTCCTACACTCGCAAGACCAACTCCCGTCAGCGGAAGCACGATTCGTTCGCAGAATCGATGGCGGGGCAAGAGGGAGTTTATCTTGATTCTCGATACGTTAGAGTGACTAATGCCAATTATTATTATTATTTGAGAGTTTCTATTTCGATTCGATTATTAAGATTCTTAATAATTGAATTAGTTCTTAATCAGACAATAATTTCTTGAGCAAGTCAACTAATTGTGGAATTAAAGGATTTAGATACTTCACAGAGGTGTTCACTAAGTTTCACGAAAGGTCTTTTATTTGTCGCACATGGATTCGAATGTGACGAATCTAATCTCACAGATAACTCTAGTTTTTTTTAGCAAAAGTATTAATCTTTTTAGAATCCTAGAAACTTAACAAATTATTCTTCCAACACCGAGGATGTTCCTGATGCATCACAAGATAGAAAATGGAAGAAAAAAATCGAAACACTTCGATAAAGTTTTCGTAGGATCGGTTTTCCATTGTCAATAATTTTGCTCGCTTGTAGCTACAGGATCTATAAATCACGCTTCCACTATCATGATTCTTATTTTTGTTGCTATACACAAGTTTTTAGGTGAATCAAAGTTACGTACACTGCACACAGCGAAAAGATCGAGACATATTGCTGTTCGCGGAAGTATTCAGCAAGATTTCACTACGAGAGAAAGTCTCTTCCTCTTTTGCAGATTCATAATTCATAAATCCTTCTTGCGATGCTACAAATCTTTCTTTAGCGAGACATTAAATAGATAAACACTTTGCAGAATAGACATTTTATAGAGAAATGTTCTCCAATGCTTTTCACTAAAACACTATTTGCGCTATTTTAAAGATTCTTTTTTGCAAAATTGATATCTCTCTCTATTTAAGATCCGCAACACTTGAAGCATCTTTGACTTAAAAATTCAGGATCAACTTCTTAAAACTATTGCACTATTCTCCGTTATATTCCGCACTGAATTCTTTCTCTCTTTAAAATTCGGGATCTACAAGCCCTTCAAATTAAAAAAACAGCAAGGATGTTTTGAGCAACGCTTCGATTGGAAGAATATCGAAACTATAAAAAGATGCTTTGCTCAAAAATCAAGGATGATGCTTGAGGTAGCGAGGATCACGCGATCTTCTCATTCACACTTGCCGAATTGTAACACACGCGCACACACTCACACACACACAAATAATCTACCAGTCGAATCTCACCAATCTTCTGGAAGATCGAGTCTACGATCAATCTTTGAGTCATCTGCGGAAACCGATCTTACTCGCGCTATTATACTGATTCTCACGATCGTTGTGTCATTTACAAAGACGACAAGTTCGATCTACGATAATGACTGTCATACTCCCGTGAGGCCGATCTTATCCTCAAAAAATCAATTTCCATCGATCTCAGAAGAGCAGCGTCGCAATCTTTCTCAAAGTGGATCGGCGTTGCAATCTTCTTAAAGTGGGTCGCCGTTTTTTTCCTCAAAAACGCGTTTCTTTTTAAATAAATCTTCGTTTACAGTCCTCGCGAGTTCGAAAACGGATATTCGCCCGAGAGATCTGCGATAAGATCTCGTCCTCGTGCGCGGCACTTCGCGGTTGCGTTTTCGCGTTTTGGAGCCGAGAGCGCTGCGTCGTGGCGGCGTCCCGACGCCCAATGACGTTGAGAACGTTCTTCGTACGAGCGAGAGCCACCGCGAGAACGTCCACCCCCGCCAACCCCTACACCCTCCGCTCGTCGACACGCGATAGCTTCTGCGCAAGAACTGGTGCTGCTTCGCTCGCCCGTGTGTATACGGGGTGTCGCGGACCTACTTCCTGTCGCATTCGGCAAAAAACAGATTACACGCTGATGGCTTCAATAATACTACGACATCAATAATTTTCAAAAAATGTTGATATAAGCAATTAAAATACATTAAGAATAACAAAACATGTATACAGATACGTAAAAAATTAAATCAAATTTCGGTTACATCGAATTGTTCTTGAACGTTAATCTGTGAAAATTATTTCCAACAGTTTAAAAAGACATTGTCTTTTATTTTCTAATCAATTTTAACACAGGAGAAATTTTATTCCAATCTTAATTGTCAAGAGATTTAACGCTTAAGCGGAGCATGTGTCTCATATTCCTTGGAAATGCAATCAAAATATATGAGAATACATAGAAAGAACTTTATGTTAAGCTTGAAATATTGAAAAAGTTAAGTTCTTCATAAAACATTATGTGTTTAGGATGCAGTAAAAGCTCTGTGGGTGATTTTCCGAGAAAGAAATTGATTCATCCCCTTAATCGATTCATTCGAAAATTCGCGACACATTAGAAAAAGAACAATGCGGAATAAATCCGGGACACCCCATAGGTATATGTGCAGGTGTGTGTGTGAGCACTCGTTGCAGGTGTGCAGGTGGAGTTCTACGACGGTGTCCCCGCGCGCGGCGTCGTCGCGTCGAATCGAGCCGAGCAGCTCCGAGCGAACTACCCCCGGCTAGGACCCTCGTTCGGCGTTGTGTGCGCCGTTCCTGACCTCGTTTTGCCCCGGCTTGTCGAGGTCGGTTACGCGGAAGTGCCCGCCGGCACGGCGGGCATCACTACGGTCGGCCGCTCGTAACTGAACTAGGGATGTTTAAATATAACGGGGTATTGATACCTTCACTCGTTTGGCATCAAATACCACAAACACTGATGACTATTCGATACTTTCCGTGAACAACATCGTTACTTTACTTACGGAATGAGCAGTATTGATAAAAGTCTCTCTTTACGGTAATGAATCAGTGGAACAAAGACAGATAATTATCATACACGTACGTGAGTATTTCAGAGTTGCAATTTACGATAAATTGTAAACGTTTTTGTTCATCGTAACAAGCGCGCCAATATATCGCATTTAATACTGCATTCCAGATATTGTTATAAATTCATAATATCCAAGTTTTTATAGTATCACATTCCTTGCAATAAAAATAAATTACAAGTGACTATGTCTTCTCTCTCTCTCTCTCTCTCTCTCTCTCTCTCTCTACTGTTATAAAAATACTGTTATAAAAATTAATATAAGTATCTTTTCGGAGTTATTAAATTTAGTACAGTTTAATTAAAAATTTTGTCAAATCATCAAACAACCAATTGAAAGATAAATTCTAAGTGATTAAAAGAATTTAATATAAATAAATATGCATAATCGTTTAATTCTATATATTACTTGTATAATTTTTTTGATATAATTACTTTTATAAGACATATTTTACATTTAATGTTATATATATTATATATAAATTTACAATTAAATAAAAATTAACATTTATGTTCAAAATTTGTAAGAAAATATATAATATTTATATAAACAACGTTCTATTTAATAAACATTATTGTTGTTCTGATTTTTAAATTAATCCTTCTTCTTAAAAAACATAGGAACATACTATGTTAATTATGTTAAAATTTAAAAAGATCTTTTTATTAATTTTTTTGCATACTTAACATTAAATTTAAATGTTTAATTTTTTATTAACAGACATATATAATAACAAGTAAATAAAATATTACATAATCAATATTACATTAATAGTATAGCAAGGAAATGTTTATTTTTTCATAATTTGCGATGCAGATGATATTATTGCACAAGATACCTATCTTTGTACATAATTTTAATTAAATGCCATTGCTTGCGTCAATCAGCAAAAAGTCGATATGACCAGAATATAACCAGTGCTAAATGTACACGCGCAATATATTATTTGCCGCAGATTCGACTATCGACAACTTTCCATTCCGCGGCTACAAAATTGGCATTCGAAATCGCGGTGCAACTTTTTTGGTCACGCGTTCCAGTTTTTATCCCTCTCTCGTTCGATCAATGAGTGTGAAATTAATCTGCGAGTGTCATGCATTGACTGCATTATTTTTTCTTGTAATAATAATACATTATTATTGAAATCGTGTACTTTTTTGCAACTATAAATGTGAATTTAAATGTAAAACTATTAGATATACATATAAAAAGAACTTTTTAACAATTGTAAAATTATCTATAATTAAATATTAAAGACTTATGAGATAACATTAAATTACATTTTTACATAATATTCAATCACATCATTGAAAATATCATAGATAATATTGTTAAAGAAATACATCATAATAATGAAATGTGTATGAAATAAATACATCACTTTATACATGCCTAATATGTTATGCAAACAAATCGCATAACGTAACTTTATATAAAGTCTCTAATTCTGGTCAGGTTGCGCTTTGTTTTCCATCACTAATGTAAAAGGACGTGCACGGCGCACAATCGTAATTCAGTTGCGTCCATTAAACGCGATTGAACTAATATTGGCGCACGATATTAACTAAGTTTAATTGCTAGATCGTAATTGTTTGATTAGTTGAGTGCTGAAGTGTTGATGGATCACGTCGCATCGATTTCTGCTCTCGTTTGATTGCAACTATTTCGGGTTCAATACTTTGTTTGAAATAATACTATTAATACTATAGTCGAATACTTTGATTAATATGAACTAAGTGTTTAAAACTGCTCACTTTTCCTTTTAATTTTGTATTTCCTCACTAAACAATTTTTTTAACTGTTTCAAATAAAAATTTGCATGAGTGTTATTGTTCTTGAAACAACTTTTCAATATGTAATATAAAATATTATTTTTATAATTTTTAAAATCATACACGCACCAATATAAGATTCAAATCTTTTAAAGTATTAGGTGTTGGAATTAATTCGTAGCGTTTTTAATGAAAGAATGTTATTTATTATTTCACATGAGCATTAAAAAATACATTAATGAAAGTACTTCCCATCACTTGTAAAACGCTACGAATTAATTCCAACACCTAATATAATTTATTTACCATTAAATAAAATATGAAATATATAATATTTGAACGTGTTAATTTAAATTCGTAAATATCAAAACTGATATTTTTCTATCTATAGCATACATGACCTAAGGCATGTGTATATCCCTAGGATAAAAACCTATACAACGTGTGTATGTATTATATAAACTTGTTGGAAAGAATCGACGACATATTCTTGTTGACGATATTCCTTTCCAGTAGAACAAGTAGAGACTAGCTAACCTCGCATCAATAAGTTGCTCAAACTTCTCACGAGTCATCTACGACTGTAGAACGAACGTTTACTTAATGAAACGAGCGTTGTTCTTATCAGTAGTAAAAATTTACCATATATCTCCCATA